ATGGCCATCCTTACCATAGCTTGGCATCTTTGGAGGGTCTTGAGGACTTCTGCATCTTTGTCCATTCCTGTATGATCTTTTGTAGGGCCTGGGTCTTTTCTTTATCCACTTGGACATCTTCTACTCTCTCATCTGATGTGACAGATGATGTGGATGGCTTGCCATGAGGGCTCTGGGAGACCGGCTGGAAGTCCAGGGCTATGTAATTCACATTGCCAGTACTCTTTTTTTTTTTTTTTTGGGGGTGTCCAGGGCTATGTAATTCACATTGCCACTACTGTTTTTTGGAGTTGGGTTGTTAGTGCCACTGGGTACAGGGGATGAAGACTTTGGGTTAGTTAAAGGTGTGGTTGACTGTGGACAAAGACTTGGTGGCAGGTGTCTTGAAAGGGAGCTCATTGATGACAGTGTTACAAGGCAGGCTGGATGTGGCTTGGCACAGGTAGCTGGCTAGAGTGTGAAAGGGCTGAGGACTTTCTTGCTCAGAGCAGGTGATGACTAGAGCTGCTGAATTCAGCTGGAGAAAAGCAGAGATTATGGCTGACAGAAGAAAGGTTTCTCAGGGTATCAGAGCTCCCTTTGGCAGATGCTCTGGACCCACCTATTCATGACAGCCTCTGTCTCAGCCACCAAGTAGAAGGTGAGCTCATTGGTATTGATATCCCACAGGGGTTTCTTGGAGTGTTCATTCTTGTAGTATTCCAGAACATTTGGGTCACCACTCATTTGACCGCTCCACAGGATAAACCAGCATTTCTTCCAAGCATAGCGCTCCAACTTTTTCTCAGGAGGTGATTTCTCCACCACATCATTGCCGGCTGACTGGAGCTCGCAGCAGGCTTGAGTGGACAAAAGCATGGGCTGTTGGGTTAGCTGTCTGCTGGTGGGTAGCTCATGGAGGAGGGATTCCTCAGTGGCAGATTTCCCACATTTCTTTAATAATTTTCTTAGCATTATTGCTTAATCCAAAGTAAAAATTAAATCTTACCAGTACCTTGTCTCTTTAAACTTTATCTGTGTGATTGACTGTGATCTCTATTCCAATCCAACTCTCTTAGGAGTTGAGGCACCCCTTTTCCAGTGCCTTTGAAATCCAACTCTCTCAGGAGTTGAGGCTCCCCCTTTTCCAGTGCCTTTCCAATCCAACTCTCTTTGGAGTTGAGGTATGTATTTTCCAGTGCCTTTTGTCAATCCAACTCTCTCAGGAGTTGAGGTACCTATTTTCTAGTACCTTTTGCAATCCACCCTCACAACTCCTTACTTGCTTTCCAGCCTTCTGAGGGTGATCTCTCAGGGTCCCCTTTTCTTTCCTGATCCTGGTGAAACCTCCATTTGTGGCTGCTCTTGGCCACTAAGTCCTGAGTATTGGGCGAAAGCCTGGAGATTTGGATGAACAACAAGACTCCCGGTCCTTTTCTGAGAGAATGTCTCCCACCTTTATTGTGGAGCAGCCTTATATACAAACTTACAAAAACCCCAGGCCAGAGGGTTCACAACAGGATATTGATCCCAGTGGGGTGAGGTCAGGAAAACAGGAGGTACCTGTGGTTATGCTGGAAAATAACTTTTAGAGACTTCATGGGGGCTGGGTTCCAACAGTGAGACTGGTATCAAAGAACCTTCTCCACTGACTGGATTGCTTACCAGCTATGGGGGACAGCTTCCACTGCCCTGTGTTCTGTGGTGCTTTTCCACTTTCACCCCTTGTAAAACATGCTTATACATTCTGCCCACACATCAGGTCATAAACGATTTCCAAGTGTCCACACTTGAAGTTCCTAGTAGAATTGTGCGCATCTTTCAAATTACTCATCTTCATCATCTAAGTACAAATGTTATATAATTTCTGCTCTATTTTTGTCTACATTGCCAAGGGAATTCAGCCGTGTCAAATGTGTGTTGTTTAAAAATTACACAATTGAGAAAATTAGTGGAGAGAAAATAAATATCAATTTGTCTTCTATGAGCCAGTAGAGCAAGAAAGACAAAGAATGCTGAAATCAGTGAGGAAATGGATGGAATGCCCTCAGTGTAAGAAGAGGGAGGTTGGTTTCTAGTCTGTACCATAGAGATGCCTGTTCTTCTAGAGGTCACCCTCACCTTCTTAGAAGTATGGCACCATCAGTGGCCACACAGGCACCAGCCACCTCAGATACTCTGACCTGAACTTGACTTTGGTCTCTGTCTTTCACATGTGAGACGCAACCCTGCAGAATGACGATGCTTCCCTGCGCTGAGCATGGGGAAAGCATCTGTCACAACTTCTGAGTCTCTTAAATCTTTAATTCTTCAAAATTATTCTCAGAAAATTATCTTAGTGAGATAGTTCATTGTACAATTAGGCTTTATTGCTTGATTTATTGAGTACTTTGCAATTTGACATATTTGTTCTCTGCCTAATAGAAGGGATGGTGATTCTCTGTGACGATTCTTGCCAAGTCCAAACCAGTGGTGTCTGCTCAAGTTAATCTACCATAGCCCAGGCTGAATTGCCTCAGACTTATTTATGTTGGAAACTGAAAAAAAAAAATCCCCAAACCTTCTGTGTACCTTTTATTACATGGAGATGACAATGATCAACTTGCAGAAAATGCACAAACAGTTGATAAAAGAGCAACAAATCAAACCATAGTAAAATTGCAGAGAAAGCAGAGTGAAGTAGTAGCTAGTATAGCAGTTAAGGTCATCCAGAGAAGCTATGCTCTAGATTCCCTGGCAGCTTGTTTCTGTGTGCTCATGACCTGATTGCAAGGCATTTCTGTTCTTATGCAAAGCTCCTGTTTTCAGTATAGGTGGATTCTTCTCCCGGTCTTAGTGTTTCTGTTGTTGTGAAGAGACACCATGGCCACCACAACTCTTCTAAAGGAAATTATTTAATTGGGGATGTCTCGAAGTTAAGAGGTATTTAGTCCATTATCATCATGTTGGGAAGTATAGTGGCATGCAGACAGACATGGTTCTGGAGAATTAGCTGAGAGTTCTACATCTGCATTGGTAGTCATCAGGGAGAGAGTGAAACAGTGGGCCCAGTTTGAGCTTCTGAAACCTCAAAGTCCACCCCTAGTGACACACTTCCTCCATCAAGGCCACCCCTACTCCAACAAGGCCACACCTCCTAACAGTGCTACTCCCTATGGGCCTATGGGGACCATTTTCTTTCAAACCAACACACATTGCTCATGAGCCCAGAGTAAGCCTCACAGGAGTGTGTGAGTCTAAATGTCTCCCCTTATTTCATAGGATATGATTTGCATATAAAATGATGTTTGATCCATCCTGCCAATTAGTATCAGCTCTTTCCTGTTTACAAGGTTTCATCATATCTTAGAACCTTTCATCTAGTGTTGGGAATAAGATGGGAAAGACAAAGCTTTTGTTTCTTTTCTTCCTAGGACACAAGAAAGGCAGTTCTGGATTGGATTCAATAAAAGGAACCCCATGAATGCCGGTTCTTGGGAGTGGTCTGATGGGACACCTGTAAGTCTTTTCAAACTGTATATGGGAGATGAATTCAAGCCAGGTGATACTAGACCCCTTTAGTAAAACAACTAAGGGAGCCTAGAAGTGGCTGTAGCACCTTGGCAAATTTACATTAGGTCTTGGCCATGACAGTGGTTGTCTTATATTTCATCCTAAGAAGAAACCCAAATCTCCAAAAATACTCCCCTAAACTGCCTCCCATTAGAGAAATAGCTGCCCTTTACAATACCTGGCCTCTGACCCACCCCCATTTCCTGCACAATGCCTATGTGAGAATGAGATCTTGATCCATGTCACAGTGAAAAGAAAATACTAGGGAGCTTATGAGATAGCTTAGTGGGTTAGCATGTTTGCTTTTGCAAGCATGAGGAGCAAATCTGCAGTACCCACACAAAAAAGGAGACACAACTGCCCATGACTTCAATGTTGGGGAACAGAGAGGGTGGATCTCTAGAATTCACTGTCCATCCAGCTTGCCAGAATGGTGAGTTTCTGGTTCAATTTGAAGACCCTATGTCAGAGTGATGAGGTAGAGAGGTCTGCATGGAGAAAGACACAGGACATACTTCTCTTGCCTCTGCCTGCCTGCCCCTGCTCCCCTCCACATTCACAGAAAGAAAGAAAGAAAGAAAGAAAGAAAGAAAGAAAGGAAGAAAGAAGGAAAGAGTATTTTTAACGATGGTTTTTATTCTCTCAGAAAAAAGGGCAAGTACTATCATCCTTAGAAATAACCCCTTCTTAGTCAGACAAAGTAGTTCCACAAGTGGGGCAAAGTGTTGCTTTCATTCCACCCATACTTGCAAACCTCTGTGAAGGAAAGAAGGACCAGGATGTTGCATTGTTATTTCAGGTGCATTGAGGATTTCTCAGACTTTCATCAAGGTGACAAGGAAAGTTACATGACACCATTTCAACTCTGAAAAGGAGTGGTTAGAACCAGCCTTCAGGGAACATTAGAGGCAGCTGCTGTTTCCCAAACCTTCCTGACATTCTGTGGCCTAGGTGCATTGTTCTTGATCACATTCCATCCTTCAGTCCCTCACCCCAGTAGACAATAGGACAGTTAATCCACCTAATGTATTTCAGAGTGCAGCCGGGATCTGCATACAGTAACCTGACTCTAAAGCTACAGTGCTATAACATTTCCCAGTTTGTAAAACACTAGCAGCCATGTGTGGATAAAGACCAACTGAGAAAAAAAAAAAAGTCTATTCAAAGGATGGGGTTCAAATTTGTAGCTGAGAAGAGATTTACAAAAAAAGGGAAAACAAAACAAAACAAAAAACCTGTGTGCTTCTACAGGGGACAATAACAACAAAGAAATGTTAGTTTAGAAAAGATACTAACCACGTTTTCCACTCCAACATTGCTTCTTTGAAAAAGAGTGTCAAGAGCAAACAGTGGAAAGAGACCTTAGAGAGGGTTTGGATCCCTCAGCTGTGCCTGTCTGTTTTGCTAACGAAGAAAGCAAGGTCCAGAAAAGGAAGGGAGGCTAATGCCATTTCATTCGCTGGGAAGCGAAGTGCGTCACATAGAATTTGAACTACTTTGTTTTGTTTTTCTCACTCAAACTAATTCATAACAGGACAGGAGAGGGACAGACAATTGGCTTAGGAATAAATGAGACTAAGTGTACTGGTGCACTGCAGTTCTCGGCACAGCCCACCGGACAAAATGAATTATAACTCATGTCATTCTCCAAACACAAGAATAGATACATTAGATGAATGGATACATAGCTTTGTGCATATTCAAATAGTTCAAAGTGGCTTCAAAACATACGCTTATTTTCCACATTTTAACCCCTATTTCACTTGTGGTTCATCTATTCTTCTGTCCAGTTGAAAAGGTTTCCACTTATTTAAAAAAATCTGTTATGGGAATTACATATAATATGTGGTCACTCAAAACAGTGTTGGTCTTCTGATTTATGGACACTATCTCTGGAGGTAGGCATGGTGTCTCATATCTTTAATCCAGCAGTTAGGAACCAGAGGCAGGTGGATCTCTATGAGTTCCAGGTCAGTCTGTTCTACATAGGGAGTTCCAGGCCATCCAGAGCTACATAGTCTCAAAAAATTAAAACTAGCTCTCTTCCAACTAAGCAAAATTCCCAAAGAAAAGAAGGCCAACGGGAAGAAGGCGGCTGAGATCCTGCCCATCAGGAAGAAACAGGAGGCTAAACTGTGGTGAATCCTTTGTTTGAGAAAAGGCTGAAGAACTTCAGCTTTGGGCAGGACATCCAGTTCAAAAGAGACCTTACACAAGCTGTTTAAGCTTGCCTACAAGTGCAGACCAGGTGAAGAAGCAAAGGCTGCTGGCCCATGCTGAGAAGAAAGCTGCTGGCAATCAGGATGTCCCAACCAGTAGACCTTTGGTCCTTCCAGCAGCATCAATATGGTCACTATCTTGATGGAGAATAAGAAGGCTCAGCTGGTGGTGACTGCCCACTATATAGACCCCATTGAGCTGGTGGTCTTACTGCCTGCCCTGTGTCGAAAGATGGGGGTCCCCTACTACATCATCAAGGGAAAGTCATAGGAAGACACTACCAGCATTACCTTCATTCAGGTTTACTCTGAAGACACAGGTGCTCTGGCTAAGCTGGCGGAAGCTATTAGGACCAATTACAACAACAGATGAGATCCACCACCACTGGGAGGTAACAACCTGGGTCCTAAATCTGTGACTCACATTGCCAAGCTGGAAAAGGCAAATGTCAAAAAACTCACCAGTAAACTTCGTTAAATGTACACTGTGAGCTTTCTGTATATAAATATAAATTAAAAAATTTAAAAAGTGAAAATGAAAGCAAACAAAAAAACCTAGCTCTGTCTTAGACTTTAAACCTAAAAACTAAATGCTTAGCATTTAATATGAATGCTTAGCAAATAAATTGGCATCAAAGGTGATATCTAATTCTGGAACAGCCCTGAACCTCTAAGCTTACACAAGATTCCAGAAAACAGTTGACTTAGTTGATGTTCTATTGCTGTGAAGAGACACCATGACCATAACCACTCTTACAAGGGAAAACATTTTTTAAGAAGGCAAAATATGTATATTTTTAGATGATAAAATATTATATATAAGATATTCCAACAATTTCACCACAGATTTTCTAGAAATAATGAACATTTTCAGAAAAAAATGGCAGGATACAAAATCTACTTACAAAAATCAGTAGCTTTTCTGTATACCAACAACACACATGCTGAGAAAGTTCTAGGAAACACTTCCATTTGCAATGGCCTCAAAGAAAATAAAATTGTCTAGTAATAAACATAACCAAGGAAGTGAAAGACCTCTAACAATGAAATTTTTAAATCACTTGAGGAAAACACTTGAGTTGACATGAATGGGCAGAATTAATGAGTTGGTAATTCTATGAAGATTACAGTGCTACCAAAAGCAATTTACAAATTCAATGCAATCCCAATAAAAATCTCTACAATATTCTTTTACAAAGGAAAACAGTTAATTAGGGCTGACTTACAGTTCAGGGGTTTAGTCCTTTATCATCATGGCAGAAAGCATGGTAGTACACAGGCAGACATGATGTTGCAAAGGTAGCTAAGAGTATATCTGGATTAACAGGCATTGGGAAGAGACAGAGATACTGGGCTTGGCTTGGACTTCCAAAACCTCAAAGCCCACCCACACTGACACACTTCCTCCAATAAGGCCACACCTACTTCAACAAGGCCACACCTCCTAATAGTGTCACTCTGTGTGAGCCTACGGGGCCTATTTTAGTTCAAATCACCACAACAGTGCAGGTTCAGAATGAAGCATGCATCTGATCTCTTCTGGAGAAAACAATAGAAAAAATGTGTGTGTGTGCGCACGTGCACATGCATGTGTATGTGAGTGCCTATTTGCACATGTGTGTGGAAGTTAGTGGCCAGTGTCAGATGTCTTCCTCAATCATTCTCTACCTTGAGACAGGCCTCGCAGCTAAACCTGGAACTTACCAGTTGGGCTACACTGGTTGGCCAGCAAGCTCAGGCTTCTTACCTTCACTTCCACAGTGCCGGGATAGCACGCACAGGCTGCTATGTTGGATTTTTTTTTAATTTTTTAATGTGGGTGCTGCAGATTGAGCTTGGGTCTTTATACTTTCACAGCAAGCACTTTACCAGCTGACTCACATCCCCAGTCCTCCATGCCCCTTTGTGAAAAAAAAAAAAAAAGCTCAGTTCTCATGAGCTTAGTCTTAACAAATGTGGACAAGTCTAACCCTGGAATGACATGTAAACATTTCTGATTCTGAAGATCCCTCTGAAGTCCCGAGTGCAGTGGTTCTCAACCTTCCTAATGCTGGGACCCTTGAATACGGTCCCTCATGTTGTTGTGACCCCTAACCATAAAATGATTTTTCTTTTGCTACTTCGTAACTGTAATTCTGCTACTGTTATGAGTCATAATATAAGTATCTGTGTTTTCTGATGGTCTTAGGTGACCCCTGTGAAAGGGTCATTGGACCCTGCAAAGGGGTGGCAGCCCACAGATTGAGAACCACTGCCCTAGCACTTGCATTCAGGGGTGCCTCCTTCCATCTTCTGAAACTCCTTTGGGGATCATCATTAAGGAATAATAAACTTCATCTGTCGCAGGTTGTCTCTTCATTTTTAGACAGTACTTATTTTGGAGAAGATGCAAGAAACTGTGCTGTGTATAAGGCAAACAAAACATTGCTGCCCTCGAACTGTGCTTCCAAACACGAGTGGATATGCAAAATCCCAAGAGGTATAAGATCTTTCCTGTATGTTTGTTTTAATGATGTGTAGCATTTTCTCAAATGAGTCACAGAGATTCAAAGTCTCAGCACTAGACAATGAGCCACACGGCCAACAGCCCAACTGATGACTCTAGCTATGCCAGTGTGGTAAGCAAGAATAACAGGCGAAGGAGAGAAGCCAGCACAGTACCCTGTGCCAAGCTGTTCATTGGGAGTGAGGGTCACCAGCTGACATTGTGGAGTAAGTACAGATGAAAGAACTGTTACCCTGACATTGCAAGCACACAGGATTACCTATACCCTGAATGTATGGAAGCACCCCCCACAGTGGGGGACACGCAGTAGCCCCCAGCAGGTGTCCATGTCCTTTCTTTAGACTCTGGAGACTCCCCTTCATGTTGGAACTCTTCACAGCATATCTGTCCTTAAAATTACTATTATTATTATTATTATTATTATTATTATTATTATTATTATTTATTTGGTTTTTCGAGACAGGGTTTCTCTGTATAGCTTTGGAGCCTATCCTGGCACTCGCTCTGGAGACCAGGCTGGCCTCGAACTCACAGAGATCCGCCTGCCTCTGCCTCCCGAGTACTGGGATTAAAGGCGTGTGCCACCAGAGCCCAGCTAAAATTATTTTTTTTAATGTGAAGTAGGAACAGCATGGTTATAGTGAGGTAGTTCAGAAGCTGCACTTGTGCAAAACGCTCAGTCAAGATATTTTGCTTTCACTCTGCAGATGTGAGACCCAATTCTCCAGACTGGTACCAGTACGGTAAGAGCCAACCTGGCAATTCTCAAACTTCTAAATACACAGCACAGAGGGGACAGTTATTGTCCTATCCTTCTTATTCTGCTTGTTCTCTTATACATCAACCTACAGCTAATTTGTTCAAATTAACAGATCAAGGAAGTATAATCCAAGTAATAAATATTCTCATTAAGTAGGGGTAAAATTAGCATCACAACTTTATTTTCATGGCATATTATTTTAAAATATGTGTGTATCCCTGACCTTTGAAAACTAGTGAAGAGGTCTTAAGTGAGATAGACTAAGAAAATAAGCAAATTATATGTGTGCACATGCACATATGTCATGTATATCCATACTTATTTACACCCCTTTTGGAAATGCCAAGTGACCAAATTACAAACTACTATGGGAGTCAACCATAGCCCATACTCTCTCAAGTTTGCCTTATGTCTCTCACTGGTCTTGACACAGTCATCATCATCATCATCTGGTTTCCTTGCAGATGCGCCCTGGGTCTTCTACCAGGATGCTGAGTACCTCTTCTACACCTACTCTGGAAAGTGGGAAGACTATGAGTTTGTTTGTGGCTGGTTGAAGAGTGATATCCTCACAATTTATTCTGCTCAGGAGCAAGAATTCATCCTCAGCAAAATCAAAGTGGTACCTGCACACAAATCTTACAAAAACCTCATAGTTTACACCTTCTTCTGTCCTTGGGGGAGGAGACGTTTTTAAAATTTGACTCCACGAATTCATTTAATTTTCCGTAAAAGTCATGGCTTTTTTTTGAGGATTGTTTTTCTTCCCACTCTACAGATTAATAGAAAACAATGGAGACACAGTTTGTTATGCTGCTATGTCCCTTGGCTTCGCTCTGTAACAGCAATGGTGTTAAGTTAGTCAGGTTCTGTTCAGTGAGATTCATTTATCACTCTCTGGGCTCCGTTTCACTAGGATGCTACTGCCACTCAAGGGCTCCACACTCCCGATCTAATCACTTAGCAGAGGCCCCCACTTCCTAATATGTCATCTTGTGAGTTAGGAGTTCAATATAAAGGACTAGGAAAGGCGGAGACATATACATATTCAGTCTGGCAGGAGCTAGCTGTAGATTTCCAAGCAATATTTATTTCTACCCATGATTGGCACTTTTTGTTATCAGTGGTATGGCGGTGTCTATGGTGAGCATTAACATTTCACAAGTAGGAAGTCTCATGCCTACAGATATCCTTGCAGAGTGATCAATGCAGGAAAACTTACGATTCCAGGATGAGGAGTCAAACTTGTAGAGGTCAGGTCATGTGATTTTGAGGAATACCCATCCACCCTTTAAATGTCAAAAAAGGTTGGGATAAGTAATTGCTTTTAAATAACAGGTTTTCATATCGCTTTCCTATGAAGAATAGTAACTTGGACTGTGAAAGGTAAAAATAACACTTATTCGGAGTGTAGAAGAACTTAATGTAAGATAGAAGGATGGCTACAGTTTTTAAAGTCTGAAAAAACAAGTGATTTTCTTTCGAAGATTGCTTGTGTTTCCTCGCCCTCTTTGATAACAGACCATGGGGTGTTATCAGGGTGAGCTCTGAATATTTTTCCTTAGACCAATCTTCTATTTCTGATCAATGATGAAAACATTAAAAGCTACAAGCACTTAACAGTTAATGGACATGAATGGCTCACCAAGCAGTCACTTGGCTACTCCTTTTATCTGTGGTCTACAATATTTGCATTTTAAAATGACAACTCACTATTACTTTGGGGTTGTGTTTATAAACACTTCTAAAACTATATATCAAATCCATTACTTGCCAAAATATGGCATTTTAAGTCCTTACAATAAACCAAAGCCCTTTATCACTTTGGTGAAAACAAAAAATATGACAGACTGCCTTGCTTTAGAAATTGTAGTGGATGAGATGTTCTATCTCATTGGAAAGTGATCTTCCATGCCATGTTAACTAGAAGGGTTACTTGAGCATAACAACACATGTAACTGACTTATGAAATGTATGGTCGCATTATGTTTCTTCTCTCAAGCAACTATTATTAGGTTTCTATTGTTGTGACTGTATACCTAGCTAACATTTAAAATTGTTACTTTCCACACCTGGCTGTTTTACCTGGGCATCTTTCAGGTTATCCCATGAAGTTTTCTACCAGGTACATCACAACTGTGATGTGCTTCGTAGGAGACTATCATATCTTAATTCAGGTGGTGGTAAATATGCCACTTAAGATGTGCATGTCATACTTTCTCTTTAGAGGTCCTAAATTGGAACTGTGAGCAACGGCTACGAGGCCATTATTTTGACTGCTGTTGCCCATGAGTTCTCTCTCTCTCTCTCTCTCTCTCTCTCTCTCTCTCTCTCTTCTTTTTCTCTCTCTCAGTTGTTTTTGTTTTGTTTTGGTTTGGTTTGGTTTGGTTTTTTTGAGATAAAGTCCTGGCTGTCCTGGGGACTTGCTTTGTAGACCAGGCTGGCCTCAAAGTGACAGGTCTGCCTCTTCCTCCTGAGTTCTGGGATTAAATGCTTGCTCCATTACCACCTGGCAACCCATTAGCCTTCACTAGATAGGATGAAGTAGTGGTCTTCCCACTACACCCACATCAGACTTCAACATTCCAAAGTCTGAAAATGGAAATCTGAAATTGGTGTGTGGATACATGACCATGAAACAACTCCTCAGGGATCTCAAATTATAGTAGTTCTCCCTTGCAATATTCCCAAATTGCTGGTCTGGCAGACAGCCATGCTATTTAAGGAGTAAAAGTACACTTGTTTCAAAATTAGAATGTTAGTAAGCTATTGCATTCTGTTGTATGATGACCTGAAATTCATATGGAAATAAATAACATATCTTAAAATTTATCTCCAAGCCTTCTCAAAATTAAACAAGAGTATAAATTTAAATACATTATGCCTTAAAATTAACAGGCTTTTGGCATATAAAAGTTAATTTGAATTTCGATACACACACACACACACAGAGGGAGCAAATACACTGTGAAGCACACCACATGAGATGGCTCAATAAAATCCTTCTGTCCCTTCCTCTATTATGGTTAAGGAGGGGGCTTCCATTCCTGGTCCATAAGTCCAGCATTACCTCTGCTGTGTGGTGTGAGCATGTGTGTGTATTTGCTACTTCACTGTGCTCAGCTGAGTGATTAATATTGGCTTTAGATTAATAAAATGGATAAAGGGTAATTTTCTGCTGTCAGACATTGGAATTCTGCAGTATTCTTTTGTCCTATGCCATGTCTCTCTCTTTGAATGCTGACACTGTTTAAGGCTTAACAGCCTAATGCGTATACTCTAAATCTTTATTCTGTTAATGTCTTTGTACCTTGTTTGTCAAATAGATGTGACATCTGCAGTGAGCTTCCATAAATCACTGAGAGAAGACGCCACTAATTATAGTCAGAAAAAGAATCCATCTTCTCTTTTATGTCTTATGGCTTCTAACAGAGTTGGAAATTTGACTTTTCAAGTTGAATGAAACAGAAAATATTTTCAATAGTTCATTCCAACTCTCTTTCATAATGAACAGGGCATGTTTTAGAATAATGCAGTTTCAAGTTTTCTGTAGATATATCAGCCCTTATTTGCTCTTCCTTACATAACTAGGTAAATTCATAGTAAAGAGCTAGTAGCATCTCCATTGATCTTAATAGTGAAAAACATAAGCAAGAACAATAAATGATGACATGTTCTTTTTTCCCTTTAATAGCTATCAAAGTTTGGTGTGAATTGGTGGATTGGAATCGAAGAAGGAAGAGCCAGTGACCCAATTCAGTATGAACCGAGATTGATCTGTATTTAACATTATTTGATAAGTTGCATGTGCAGAATGAGCAGACTGGATTTTGGTGACCAGTTTGCTGAATAGCCTTCAACTGTTATCCTTAACTTACAAATTTTCATTCTTCTAATCAAAGGCACTGGTTTTTTTTAAGTCAATACCAATGAAGTCATCACCAGTCTATAACACAAACATGCGCATCACCTGTGAAAGCTTTTTCCTCTCCGTGTGTGTGTGTGTGTGTGTGTGTGTGTGTGTGTGTGTGTGTGTGATAAAAACAAAGCACAAACTTGACTTTTAGAAAACTTTGGTGTGTACAATGCACCACCAAATGTAGACAAAATGCTGCATGTACTAAACCAAATAGAATGAACTATTACACTTTCAGTCCATATGCCAGAACTACAAGAATGGACTCAGATACTGGACGTGCTAAATGAGACCTTATTTTTTTTTTTTTTCAATTTTCCCTGGGCTGGAGAGATGGCTCAGTGGTTAAGAGCATTGGCTTCTCTTCCAGAATTTGATTTCCAGCACCCACACTAGGCAGCCCACAAACCTCCTGCACCTCCAGATCAAGGGTATTTGACACCCCCTTCTGGTCTCCACAGGCATCTACATGCATGTGGCATAAGTATACACAAACAGTGATATGACATGACACACACGTGAAAAAAAATAACCTTTTCAATTTTTTTAAAATTTTCCTGCAGCTGGCATAATGGGTCACCTGTGATATTCCAGAATTGGGACAAAGAAAGAAAAAAAAGAGTGGATAATCAGAGCCAGCAATGCGCCTTCATTTCTTCCATAACAGGTTACTTATCCATGTTTGGGTATATACTGCAGACATGTCTAGAGGCTGCCAGGCTCCTTCGTGTGGTTATTTTTGTTTTCTGTTGATTGTGTGCAATCTCATTAGTTGTCTGGTTTCTGGATGGCCACTCATCCTGTGAAATCATGCAGTCACATTGCTTTAAATAACTTACAAATGCATAAGTCCATACGAGCCAGCAGAACCCAAAGTGAGCCTAGTGAGACTGTTGCAGACATGCTTTTCTGTGGCTACAGAAATGGCTCAGAGACTAAGAGCACTGGCCATTCTTCCAGAAGACCTGATTTCTATTTCTAGCATCCACGTGGTGGCTCACAACCATCTATAACTCCAGTACCAGGAGATCATATGTCCTTTCTGACCTCCTCTGGGACCAGGCACACACATAGTGAACATACATGCATTCAAGCAAAATGACCATACACACAATAATGAAATTAGGAAATCTTTTTAAAGACAAACATGTACTTCCATATCAAATATAAACAAAATAGATGTTTCTTGTCCCTACCCAAAACAATTAAGAATCGTTCACTAATTTTACCAGGAAATATGCTAAAGCTTGAGGTTGAAGTAAGGATAGAATTAAAAATATACAGGAAGCAGCTACATCAAAAAGAAGTTATGAGTGAGAGGAAAAGTAAAATGTACTAAAATGTAGAAAATTACCAAAAGTAGATTACCAAAACTGTAAAGGTGAAATCATTAAGATGACTTGATACAGTGGGGAAAATTTCCTGTAAATGCTGCTCTCTGTGAAACTTCAGTGTGGAGTTATTTTTCACCCATCTCTACTTTCCTAGTTGTAAACTTTAACCTCTGTGCAACTTTCTTCTGTTTTCCCTCATGTAATTAAAACCTATGTTCAGGGCTGGAAAGATGGCCCCAGTTAAGGACACTGACTGCTCTTCCAGGGGCCCCCGGGTTCAATTTCCAGCTCCCACATGGCAGCTCACAATTCTGTCTGTAACTCTAATTCCAGGGGATCTGGTACCCTCATACAGGCATACATGCAGACAAGACACCAATGCACATAAAAATAAATAAGTCTTTTTAAAATTCTTTCATTAAGTTCACTGTTTTATTATTATTAATTATGTTGTTATTATTATTTGATTATTTTTGGCACTAATGACTGCTCATCTTAGACAAGTACCTGTTTGCAAGTTGGATCCAGTGGCACCCCGAGGCTAGAGGCTGACTTCTCTATGTTCTGAGAACAGTACTGCCTAGCTGAGTGTCTACTGATACCAGCCATCCTTTCCCCCAAAAGCTTCATACTTAACATGGCCAGGAGAGAAATAAAGAGGAAAATGATCCTCTGGGTGCGGGCCTCTGCAGTTAAGGGAAAGCTGTAGTTAATCCACTTGCTTTGCCAGCAGGTGTCACAACAGTCTATGGAAAGGGCTGTTTTGCAAGAATGGCTGAGGATCCGCACTGACAATCACAGCTCAGTACACCTTTGAAACCCATGGTTTTTATTCCTCTTTTGATATAAGAAACTGGACCTGCCTTGCGTTGTGCACACAGCTTCTTTGTCTGTCATTTTTTACTCAGTACTAACTGACATTCCATCACCTTTCCTCTGGAATTGAAGTCGTTCTAAGTTAAAAGACAGTTTGCAGAAAGCTGGGAAGTTGGGGATCTATCTGAGCGAATATGTGTTCATATGGGAGTCTGTCTTGTGTAAGGGTCAAGACTGAGAAATCCTCCTTTTTAAGAAGTTCCCGATTTAATTATTCTACATTATTATTGTAGGTTGAGTATCTTTTATCCAACATGAGTAAGATAAGAAGTGTTTTGATGTTTGCAGGTTGTGGGTGTTTACCAGTGAGCTGTCTCCAAGCTAAACATCTGAAACTAAAAATGCCTCAAGACTTCCCAAACACCGTGGCAGCACTTGAGTGTTTTAAGATTTAGATGTTTACATTAGGTGTACCCAACTTGCATTTTCTGATGAAGTATTATAAAGTTTAGAAATGTTTTAAAATCTTTAGAAATGACGATCTATTTGTTGTCTTAGGATCATTTCCCTGTATACTGAAACTGGATACTTTAAAGACTCTCAGGTCTTATTTTGCTTCCCAAGTCAAATATTCATAGGACTTTATATTAATCTTGTTGCAATTATAACATTTGTTTCCTTTGTTTAAAAAAAAGTTCTTTACATTCTTCCATTCTAATTACTCAGGTGGCACTTTGCCTGGGGAGGTGTCACCACTATGGTTAGTAGTTTAGTTCAGTTTCCAGTCTTCAGAAAATAAAATTATGAAAAACCATAGCAGCCATGAAAATTGACTCAAAGATTGTAGAGGGACTCTCCTAGTTCCTATGGTGTTTCTGACCTGTCTCCTCCTGCAGGGCTCTGGGGGACTGAGAACTGTTCTGTTCCTATGCCCAGCGTTTGTAAGAGAGTGAAAATATGGGTCATCGAGAAGGAGAAACCACCAATGCAGCATGGGACATGCCCCAAAGGCTGGCTTTATCTTAACCATAAGGTACACTTCTTATAAAGTCACCTTTTTTTCTCTTTTGTAGAACTTCAGTTGAAAAGTAACTAAAAGTGAGGGTAGTTTGGGGGTTTGTTTGTTTGCTTGTTTAGCACCAGTTATTCAAAGGACCTGAAATGTCACTGTCACAGCTTTCAAATGACTTCAGAAGCTTTCCCTTTGGGAACAAAAAAGGTTTCATGCAAGACCACTGTGCCTCCACACCTCATTTGTAGAGGCAGTTTTAATATGGTGTCCTTTGTGCTGGATGAATCACTAGATATGGTGTGTGTGTGTGTGTGTGTGTGTGTGTGTGTGTGTGTGTGTGTGTGTGTGTACACCTGTGTGTGCCTGCATGACAATTCATCCAGCCCCACTCCCTGCAAATAAACAATAAACTTCAGAGGGCCATCCCTCCTCATCCTCCCCGCCCAGAAGCAGCAGGACTCTACCCTCCTGTAAACTGATGAACTAATAATGTAATTTGGTCAATGTCATTTTGAGCCTCATAAAGCTCATGCTTTGGTGCTGAATTCAATTTAAGAGTAAAAGCTTGCCAGTAGGGACACTGTCAACCGGGTTTATGATCTCTGATGCTCCCTTCAATTGAGGCTGAGACTTTGCATCCATTCCTTATATTTTTTAATAAAACAACTTTATAGGCCTTAGGTAGAAGTAACTAAGATGAATCCAAATTGTAATTGTTTAACTCTTAGAAAATTAAGAAATGAAATGGTGTCATGATTTCATATGCTAACATGAAACTGCTCTTTGTAGACAGCCAGATTTTTTTTCTTTTTTTTATTAGCAAGAAAATTATTTTACATGTCAATCCCAGGTCCCTCTCCCTCCCCTCCTCCCCTGCCCCCCCCAACTAATTCCGTACCCATCCCATACCCTTCTGCTCCCCAGGAAGGGTGATGCCTTCCATAGGGGGTCTTCAAAATCTGTCATTCTTTGGTATAGGGCCTAGGCCAACCCCCTGTGTCTAGGCTCAAGGAGTATCCCTCCATGTGGGATGGGCTCCTAAAATCCATTCCTATGGTAGTGATAAGTACTGATCCACTACAAGAGGCCCCATAGATTTCCAAGGTCTCCTCACTGACACCCACATTCAGGGGGTCTGGACCCCTTTGCTCATCAGTTCTCTTTCTCTGCATCTGGATTTCACTTCAGTTCAAGGTTTAGCTGTGGGTGTCTGCTTCTACTTCCACCAGCTGCTGGATGAGGGCTATGTGATGGCTTATGAATTAGTTATCAATCTCATTATCAGGGGAGGGCATTTAAGGTAGCCTCTCCTCTGTTGCTTAGATTGTTAGTTGGTGTCATCTTTGCAGCTCTCCAGACATTTCCCTAGTGCCTGATTTCTCTTTAGACAGCCAGATTTAAATCTAAGTTTTGGGTCACACCGGTAGGCATACTCTGCTTCACCATCTTGCTGCCACTGTTAACTAGTCACATATGGCTAGTTTAATCATACTGAAATACACATACTTTAGAATTTTCTAACTTAGTCATTTTCAGTGTGTGGTTTGCCAGTATTCAGCATCAGTATGTTGTACAGTGCATTCCAGGTCCTTTTTCTTCTTACAGAAACAAAACTCTACATTCATTAGATAAAAACAACTCCCTAGTCTTCTTCCCCCATCACATCCTGGCTCCTAAATAAAGGGCTCCACCATTATACCTCATGTCTGTCTGAACTTGAATCCTGTACATGGAGACATGCAGTATTTATTATGACTGGCTCACTTAGTATAATGCATATAAGCCTCAGCCATTTATGACATGTGACAGGATTTTTCCCTTTTTAAGGCTGAATAATATTCTATAGCATATGTGCTGCCCAAATTCCTTCCCAGTGGAAGATATAAACAATATCTACCTCTTTACCTAAGGTCCCAAAGACAAACCAAGGTATTATTCCACCAAAAGTCACTGTGAAGAACCATTCCGTTTATTGGGTTTCCTTACAGAGCATAAGCAAAGGGTTGCCTATGAGAGAGTCTACCTATCAAGGATGATGGCATAACCACATGGACAGAGCCTTCTTCTCCTAGCTTTCCCATACCTATATACCCTAGCCTCCTCCCCTAGGCAATATGCAGTTAGATCAGAGTTGTACACAACAGGTGTTAAGAAGCAGTAAATGAAGTCATACTCAGATGAGGGTCTCATGACCCCTCTTCCTCCCAATGAGAATAGTCAACAAGTCCATCTGAGGCAATCTTCTGCAAGAGGCACAACTGAACTGAAGATGACAGGCGTCTGGCTCAGAAGCTATTCCTATTCAATATGTGACCACCTTTTACTCACTCCAGGGAGCCATCCCCAGCAGTGGACAGGTCCCAGCAGAGGATGTAAGGAGTTAGGGAGGGAAGGAGGTGAGTCAGGCCATGGTGATCAGGAGAACCTTGCAGCCTAACTGACTAGCAGCCAGAGTGCTTCATTATTTATACAGAATTTAGTGAGTAGGGATACATTCATATTGTTCCAAAACATAGATCAGTTTTGTTTATGAACATGTGTTTCGCTTCCTTTTACAAGTCTTTTAGTCATCATTGATAAGCCATGACAGAACAGAGTTTTACAATCATTTCCCCCTCAAGTTTTGACATCATTGATCAACAGTTATATTTTATAACCATCTTTTACTCATCAACCCTATAACTCAATTTTTAAGAAATCTAGAGACATATGCCAATCTGTTCTCAGGCTAGTTGCTTTTGTGGCTACAAGGACACCAGACCAAACAAAATCTTCAAGCCAGCCTAGGTATATTGCCATGTCCCGAGCAGTGTGTTATTAACTCTTAATGGTCAGAGTGCCCAAGAAAAGTCCTCAGGACAAAGCTGCTGCAGTTACTATTCAAATTTTGGCATAATACAATGTTCACATTTATATCTTTATAAAATTTGTTTATAAGTCTAATCCTGGCATTCTGTTGTTCCTTGGTCATAGACACCACAGTAGCTCTGCATGTGCTAACTCTTCTAAGAAAGGGAGGTCCTGACATCTCATTCTTATATCATCTTTTTACATTATTATTTGTCTTACAATATAAGTCTCTGTATAGGGCAGAGGTAATTGAAGTTCCTTGCTGTATATGCCATGTAATTGCCTGAGCATATAGTGGGGAGAGGCTTGCAATCTGATCTGGGGCCAACTCCTCTAGCCCATTGAATCTTGTTGACCTTTTTGAGTTTACTTGCTCTTGATTATCTTGTTCCTGTGTAAGTACAGGGACAGTTGTTTCAAGAATGCCTCATAGCCTCAAAGAGAGACTTCTGGCTTCTTTATGTGTATCTCAACCTCCAAGGCGTAAAGAAGATCTTCAAGTAGTAAAGATATCTTCCTAAAAGCAGGAGGGGTAGTATGTTCAGGACTTTCCTGGGGAAGCTTAGAAGCAATACTCCTGGAAGAAGGCATAAATGTTTCATAAGAAGTTTTCCATCAATCCAATATCCCCAAATTGTACAAATATTAAAAGTGCCCCAAGTATGCAGCATGTAGAGATGAAAACCAAAGGTGGCACAGCAGCCATCATGAGGCTCAACTTGGCTGGATCTTTGTCAAACTGCTGTGTTGGCCTTATGACTTCTGCCATTCCCACCAACTCATCCATCTAGCCATCCACCATGAATTCTTAGAGTGCCCTCACCTCTTGGCTGATTTTGCTGGGTGGTTTTTCATAAATATTTATTTGATTAAATTTTTAAGATATACATTTATTATTCTGATTTTACATATGAGAAATCTAAGGCTTGTATGATTGTGTGACTTTCATGAAAATATGTGTCAAATCAAAATTCAGCCTCTGTCACAGTGTACACAGAACGTGTTTGGCCAAGCAAGCTTAAACAACTGAGTTCAGGTCCCACGTAAAATCCCAGCTACAGTAGCACATATAAATCTAATCCCAGCACACATTTCTACCTATGTAGAGGCTGAGGTAGAAAAACCACCAGAAGCCCATGAGCCAATTAGTTTGTGTACACAGCAGCGAGCAGGAGAGATCCTGCCTCAAACAGGGTGAAAGGCAAGGAGTGAAACACAAGGTTGTTCTCTGACAAGACAGGTGCATGGCCCACTACAAGGCCAACACACATACACACACACACACACACACACACACACACACACACACACACACACACGCTCACACCAGCTTCATAATCTTTTAAGTTGTATTAGATTTATTTTTTTTAAAGAGATGCTATTATTAAAATATCGGCACTACTCACAGCAACCCACAGAAGCAATGCAATCTCCATCAATATTCCACTGGCATTTTTCACAGACATAGAAAAAGAATAATGCTACAATGTACATCAGTGTATACATTTCCAAGTTCCAGTTTTCATTCCTCTTGGAGATAAACTTAGAAGCATAATTGCTAAGTCGGGATTCTCTTACTTAGGTATTTGAGAAACTGACAAATATGTTTTCCCAGCAAATAAAAATTTTACAATTATAACCAGGCATTGGTAGCGCACACCTTTAATCTCAGCACTCGGGAGGCAGAGGCAGGTGGATCTCTGTGAGTTCGAGGCCAGCCTGGTCTCCATAGCGAGTGCCAGGATAGGCTCCAAAGCTACACAGAGAAACCCTGTCTCGAAAACAAACAAACAAACAAACAAAAACAGAATTTACAATTGCATATGTAATAGGAGGTTTCATTCATGTACTTTTGGGGATAGAAATGTTTAATTAAGTCATTTGTCCTTGTTTTAATTAAGCCATATAGGTTTTTTTACTGTTGAATTATAGAAATTCTTTCTGGTATCATGTGCAATGAATTCCTATCAGATTTTACACCTAATAACTATAAGGATGTTCTCCCTTATAATTATAATGCCTTTTGATGCATGCAAATCCATAATTTTTATGAAGTCCAATGTATCTACTTTTTCTTCTAGTTCTTGTGCTATTGCTATCACATCTAAGAACACAACCTCAAATCATATGTCATGAATACTTTCCCCTACATCTTCTTCTATATGATTTTG